CGAAATTTGTGTGGCGCATATATATGTCTAGTGCTTATTTGTACCAATATTTATGTGTTTAGATAAAGAGACTGTTAACCAAAATCTATCCATTGTAAATTCATATATGTTTGGCTTTCGGTATGACTACCCTTCGCTCTTTTTTTTTTATAGATTATAACATCAAGTAGAAGTTATTAAACACTACAAATTAGTCTGTCTAACAATCATTGACCTTTTCTATCAATGATCATGAACAAAATGTAATCAGAAGAGAGAGAAAAGAATACTATCGAACATTCAAAATACATTCATATACATATATATATATATATATATATATATGAGTATTGTAAACGTGACTACTTAGATAAAAAGCAAGATATTAACCGAAAGAAATTAGTAACTATGAGTACTAAATGAGAATACATACAATTGATTAGTTATTGCACGAGCACTGGTGATGATTATTTTTACAATGTTTTTTTTGTGTACTTAATTCAAAAATTGGCTAATATTTGTAAGTACATTTTATGATATAATAGAAAACATAATAATGGTGTAATAACTAAAGAGAAGTTTATTTTGTTCAGCTGGGTGACACGGGATCGAATCCGTCAAGGAGCACCAGTTCCCTCAAGATTACAGGTACATCTTGCTGATGAGTGCCAAGTAACATGAAACCCGGGTTCAGGGTTTCCTGTTAACCGCCTCCAACCATCATCTTATTCATTTGTTGTATTGTTTGTTTGAATCTTCTTATTGATATTAAAGGACTACTGTTGATCAGTATCTTATTCGTATATGTGTATCCTGTGCGGATTGCCTTGATATTGCCTTAAATCATAGGCATTATCTACTTAGCTATTTTATTGTTCATATTCATCCAACAGAACAGGATGAAATTAATCAGATAAGTGGTGGAAAAGTGATTAAACTATTCAATCTTAGAATGCTGGGATTAGCGTAGCAGATGTTACGTGACGATCGGAATAAGATTTCGTAATGATCAAGTCAATCTATACTGGCTGGAACACTTTATCCCAGATGAATCTGTTGGAGAGCAGTAAGACTAAAGTTAGAAAACTTGAGGATGAATTCGTACTGACAATTGTATTGCGGTGTGACGATATTAAGAGGAACAGTGAATTTATAGAACCTTGCCTAAGGCTATTACAGCATTATCATGCTGAGAAGAGTTATTTTCTTTGTTTTTTTCTCAACCTGACTAAAGTATCTTCGTATAAAACGTTGAAGATATTATTAAACTTTTCAGATATATTTTTCTTTAACAAAAATTCATTGAATACAGTTCTCCAACGACAGCTGAAGCTGAAGATAAGCACTGTTATAAACAGTTCCATACTAGAAGGATACTTCTGTTCAATGCTTTCTACTCAGTTGACTAAAAACAAACCAATTACGAAAAGACTCAGTTAAGAAGAGTTAATATATACAATTTGAAGCTGTATAAAAAGTGTTGTAAGCAAAGATGAATAGTGGCTAGCAGTAGAATCCAGGATACGCATCACTTCGTCCTATTTGGGGCTCGTCAACTGAATGTACATGCATCTCAGACTTGATGTTTACTCTGGGACTCGAACCCAGTATCTTTCGCTTCAAACACCATCGCGTTATCCACTCAGCTAACGAGTCCCAAATAGGACGAAACACGCGTCAAACTAGATTCCACTGCTAGCCACTATCCATCATTGCTTACAATGCTTGTGAATTCAGGCTATATCGAGGCAATACGTACAATATGCACATATGTCAATAAGTGACTGACCAGTTCCAGTCCTAAAAACATCAATGAGAAGATTTAAACAAACAATACTAAGTGAACGTAAAAAAAAAGTGATTGTAATTTCTGGCTTTAATCTTATCCACATCTTATGAATGGTATGAAACAACAATGAGAACTTTATCAATCATACATTATATAACATTCAATGAAAAAACTGGTTTATATGAATTACTACTACTACTACTACTACTACTACTATGATGACATTTGTCAATAAAATCACCATCTTAAAATACAAAGTAATATTACAAAAAAAATCACAATCCGTTTGTTAAAAAAAGAGACATATATATACCATAAGTATTATTGAATGAAGTGTAATATACTTAAGCTAAATATAGTACCATAGTATACAATTATATATGGAGACATAATTATTGCTATGCAAGAGAGAGAGAGAGAGAAACAGTTTAATGGTAAATTAATTGAATTTATACCTATGAATATTTTAATAATAGGGAAGTTGGTAAAAAAAATGGGTTGAATCTTCAAAGTTCAACAACATGAACTGATCTCAGTTAGACAGTCATAAGAAGAACTCAGAAGGCATTGGACAGTTTTTATTCAATGACTGTCTAATTAAGATCAGTTTGTGATGTCAACTATGAAAATTTTAAAATCATCACCACCACAACCATCATATTAAAAACAATCATATAATCACTAATCACTAACTTTCACAGGTTATTTCAGGAATTTCAGTCACGAACCGTTATGAGTGAAGTTCAACTGTGTCGAGTGTAAGAAAGTTACTTGTTGCAAATAGTGGAAGATGGTTGCCTCCGATATTGCGAAATGATTGGCGTTACACATGGACACCACTAGATGCAGTTTTAGTGGTTAAAAGCTCGTTTCGATTCCTGATGCTCCTGGAATTGATGCTTAAAGGGGTCGTGGGTGCCCACTGTTGAGTCCCACACTACGACGAGACAGTTGTTTAGTGCTTATAGTTTCCAGTGGTTTCCTAACTAGGATGAGTTTGTCATGTAAACTACGAAATGAAATATTCGTAAACCGAACGCCGGTTTTTGTACTATATCAATATCAAGTTGTAGGAAAATAAAACCAAAATAGGTGAAGTGAGGGTTCGGATCCGCAACCTACTGATTAAAAACTAAGCGCTATAGCATGGAAACATACTCTTTAGACGAACGCTTATAGAATACTCCCCTTTAGAATACCTGTTACTTGACAGTGTATCAACAAAGCTTGTTACATATTCAAGAGACAATAGCTACGCCAGCTTTACCACATAGAGATCTTTCGGGTCGTCTTTAATTGGAGGTAGAGGCCGATTATTAACAATAAGTTCAGCTTCTGTGATGAAAGTTTCAAGACACTCAGTTACTAAATATTGTCACTGTACGAGGGCAATTATTACCTTAGGAATACAGGGAATCATACACTTCCAGTCCTTCCTATGTAGTAACTAACAACCGGACTTTTTTCTTGCTTTACCGTGATGGGTTTTAGATAATCTACCCCTACTGATAAGAACGAGTAGTTACCACTATCCACTTTGATAATTGTAGCGATGTCACTAAATGTTCAGTAGGGAAGTCATTCCTTTTTTCATTGAACACGGTTTCCCACCACTCTTCTTATAGACATACCACTCCTTAACACCGAAAACCTTTCTCGGACTACTGCCATTAGCAGTCTAGCACCTATATGATCTACCTTATGACAGAGTTATGATTTTATTTATTTGAACACATATATATTAGTACAAGGGGGCACTAAAAACATATGCGTCACACAATAACAATGAAGTTGTGGAGAGATAGAGAATGTAAGGTGCGTATAATAATAATGAGAGAAACAGTTCAATTAAGAAAAATACATTCGTAAAACATATCCACCCAAGTTGATGTTACACAATGATAATACCAATTTAATTATCATCTCTGTGGCCGAACACATGATGACGAACCTATGCATTACTAACATAGTGTTGCCACTGAATGCCAGCAATCCTTCCGAGACAACGATGATTAAACATAGAGAACGTTAGAACCAAACGTTCTGATGGTCAAGTGTTAACCACGAAACCAGGACGTTATGGGTTTAATAAGTACTAGGGGTTCATGATTACAAACTGTCGAAGAATCCTAAATTTAAAAAAAGACTATCCTCTACTGAGATCAAACTGTGACATATCTAACCTAAAAATTGGACGAGTCACTTCAAAAACCTCTTTAACTGAACTCTATTAGTGAGTACCGAAAATGTTCTGTTCAATAAATACGTAAGATTTTGATTAAACGTAAGAAAGACTCTCAGGTAACTCTGATTGTTTGAATTTTTTCTTTGATGCTAAGGACTGCATTTGGTTAATCTTTTTGGCGTACACAAATTGTGTGGATGGCCTTGGTATAGCGATTATTGCCACAAGTATTGAAATAGAGTTGGATAGTGGCTAGTAATGGAACCAAGGAAATGCGTTTCACCCTATTTAGGACTTTTCAACTAAGTGTGCCTGAACCCCAGTGAATTTCACGCTGGGACTCGAATCTAGTCCCTTCTAACGCTTAATGTTATGAGTACAGATACTCACTTGTTTGTGCAACGTGGTGAATTTTAATTTATTACATCATTATTGTGTGATAACGGTGAGAACATCGAGAATGTGGTAACTTTTGGGCCTATCTTATGGACTGTTACATCGTTATATTCCCTGTATTTTAAGCTGCAGTTACACGCTCCACTGTTACTTAAACATCCCTCGTTAATTACTAAGCCTTTTTCCCATTGTCTTAAACGTATGCCCTGATTATGTATAAATTAAAATTTGTTATTTGGTATGTATGTGTTGCGATTTGGTAATTTATGTATATGTACACATTCATGAGTGTTTGAGTGATAATGATAACTACAGGTTGATCACTGGGCAGTGATCAATCAATTGTAAACTCATCTCAGTCCTACAGGGGTCGGTCGCTACCTGGATAGCTCAGTGGTAACGTCTCTTACTGTGAAGCTGGGTGACACGGGATTGAGTCCGTCAAAGAGCATTAGTTCCATCAAGATTTGAGGTACACCTTGCTGACAAGTGCTAAATAGCATGAAACCTAGGTTCAGGGTCTCCTGTAGACTACTTCCAACCACCATCTCATCTAATGTCATCAATAATTGAACAAAATAATTAAACCTGACCACTTGGAGATAACAAGGCAAAGTAATAAAATAATGAAGTACATAAAAGAAAACTTACTCAATATACTCAGCTTTATTTGCATCAGTCACTAGAATATCTTTACCGCCTGGTTTCAATTCATGCGTTCGTAGTTCACCTAACACTTCATAATCCATAGCAAAGTAAACATCTAATGCGCATTCATCGATATTATTCTCTCTATTTGTTTGTATGTGTAATGAGGACGAAATAAAAACAATAACGAAAGTTATTATTCAGAAGTATAATACTAATAAATTGAACAATTAAGATAGATGAATTCAGAAACTAAGAAGTTGAGTCATTGTTGAATATGGATGAATAAGTGAGAAACGTAGAACATTACACATATATTTATAGTTTGAATCACTAAATGATCTTAAGCTAGATCCCCACTGAAAACTCTAAAAGCACTGGACAGTTGTTATTCAATGACTGTCTAATTAAGATCAGTTTGTGGTGTTAACTCCCGACCGTTGCTGCTACCATGACGTGGTGGTCGGGCTTGCCTATCGTGATGATCCAATTGAGCTATGTTGGCTGGAACAATCGTTCCTCAAGGTCCTACCATGCCAGACAGGTCGGTTGAAGAGCGGTGAGACTAAAAGCAGCAATCCCAAGGTCCGAAGGCGAAGTTGTACTGCTGACTGTACAGAGGTGTGATAGCAGTAAGGTGTTTCCTTCAGACAACCAGCATGACAGCGATGCTGCCTTCCCACAAGGAGGGGTGGGGTTAGAAAAGGTCGACCCTAAAAATGCACACCTCGCCTTATCCCATGGATATCCGTCTCCGGCGGTAAGGACTTTTGAAGAACGGTGTGGGCAGCCGGGAAGTGATACTAGCCCTCATACCCTTAACTGCACACGAGACCAAGTTGGTCGCTTTCAAATCCTTCCTACACCTAATAACTCTGTTATCTCCATGACTAACCCTTCCCACATCCTTTTATCACCTCGCACCGCTAGGGCAAACGATTCGAGTACACGGAACGTTATTCCTGGTCTCCTGAAACCACGCTCTAAACTACATATAGGAACTTTTAATGTCCGAACATTGTGCCAAATAGGACAACAGGCTTCCTTAGCTAGGACTCTAGAATCTTACACCATCGATGTGTGCTGCGTCTCCGAAACGCGCATACAAGATCCGAGTAGTGTCATTCATTTGACCGCACCTAATCAAAATAAAGTTTCATCTCGATACACGCTTCGTGTATCTGGAAGCCCTGATGCTGCTTCCCGTGGCCTCGCTGGAGTAGGTATAGCATTAAGTCCTAGGGCAGAACTAGCTCTTTTAGACTGGATCCCAGTAGACAGTCGTCTATGCGCTGTCCGACTAAACGGATCAGTAAGGACCCGGAAAGATAGGGAAACTCGTCGTTGCCTCTTCGTCGTCTCTGCCTACTCTCCCACTGACTGCAGCTCAGACGATATAAAAGATGAGTTCTACAGGAAACTTTCTGACCTTCTCCGAAAAGCTAGGCGTTCTGATGTAGTAATAGTAGCAGGTGACTTTAATGCTCAAGTAGGTAAACTAAGTGAAAGGGAAAGACACCTGGGTGGATCTTATGGTGTCATGGCGAAAAGAACAGATAATGACGACCGTCTGTTGTAGCTATGCTCAGATAACCGCCTATTTCTTGCAAATACTAATTTTAAGCATAAGGAAAAACATCTTTTGACATGGCGACCCCCGAATTCGTCCCAACGTTGGACCCAATTAGATCACATCGCTATCAGCCACCGATGGAGGGGCTCGATAGAAGACTGTCGCTCATTCTGGGGCACATGTTTAGATTCAGATCATGCTCTAGTGCGAGCACGTATCTGTCTGCGTCTTACTAGTCGTAGGAAAGACACTGCAGGGAAGCCTCTAAGGGTTCTACTTAATGATAGGCAAGCTAAGAATATATTTCAGGAACAACTAGGAAAACAGTTAGGCAGCCATGTAAGTTGTGTCCACCCCGAGGCAGCGTGGAATGACATCCGAAAAGCTGTGGAAACAGCAGTGATATCCGCTAGTAAGGTAAGCCATAAGGTTAGGGAGAAACAATGGATCTCGGCAGCATCTACCGCACTGATAGATGCTCGTAAACTCATCCCACCTGGCTCTGAACATAACGAAGAGCGGAGTCAACTTAAGCGCAGGCTTATAAGAAGCCTACGTAATGATCGTGAACAGTGGTGGGTAGCGAAAGCAAGAGAGATGGAAAAGGCAGCGGCAATAGGTAACAGTAGGCAGCTATTTAGACTCGTTAAAGAAACCGGTATTAGGAACCCGAATATCAGTGAAACCATCTCAGATAAAGATGGGCATATTATTCATTCTCAATCCAGGAGATTGGATCGATGGGCAGAACACTTTAGGGATCAGTTCAACTGGCCTTCATCCACACTTCAATTACCCACCATCCCCAGTCGTCCTGAATGGCAAATTGATGTAAGTCCTCCAACCCTCTGTGAGGTTGAAAAAGCTATAGGAAATCTGAGGCGAGGGAGAGCAGCAGGCCCTGACAGGTTGACCCCTGAGATTTTTAAGGATGGTGGTCCAGTACTAGCAGTGAGATTGACTGAGGTCTTAGGTAGAATCTGGGAAATGGACGTAATTCCATCTGACTGGTCCCAATCACTGATTGTGCCAGTCTATAAGAAAGGACAAAAGTCCTCCTGTGACAATCACAGAGGGATCAGTTTGACTAATATAGTGTCTAAAATATTAGCTTCAATAATACTAGGTCGCCTAACCAAAGCTCGTGAAGAGCAAACTAGAGAAAACCAGGCTGGTTTTCGACCTGGACGTGGTTGCATAGACCAGATATTCAGCCTACGTCAGGTTCTAGAACATAGACACAAATTCAGACGTCCCACAATAGTAGTATTTCTTGACCTTAAGGCGGCATTTGACTCCGTTGATCGTGAGGTTCTATGGCAGTGTTTGTCACTGAAAGGAGTACCAAAGAAGCACATTAACCTCATAAAGGCTCTCTACTCGAACACAACTGGTCGAGTTAGAGCCTATGGCGAACTGTCATCAGAACTGATTACCACAAGTGGCGTTCGTCAGGGCTGTCCACTCTCCCCATTCTTGTTTAACTTTGTCATTGACATACTTTTAGAGATAGCACTTTCATCAGCTAAACCTCCAGGAGTTGAACTTTTACCAGGAGGCTCACTTGTTGACTTAGAATACGCCGACGACACAGTTTTACTCGGTGAAGACGCTGACAACATGCAGAGTCTTCTGACCACTATATGCAACTATGCAGGCATGTTCGGGATGCGATTCTCTCCCTCGAAGTGCAAAATGTTACTTCAGGATTGGGTTGCAGCGACACCTGAACTAATGATAGGGAGTGAAGTAGTTGAGCGTGTAGACCACTTCACTTATCTTGGGAGTCTCATCAGCCCTTGTGGTCTGGTATGTGACGAAATCTCAGCACGGATACAGAAGGCTCGTCTAGCTTTCGCCAACTTGCGTCATTTATGGCGTAGGCGAGATATCCGTCTAGCAACCAAAGGGCGGGTTTACTGTGCAGCAGTTCGCTCCGTCCTACTTTATGGAAGTGAAACATGGCCAATAAGAGTAGGGGATATTCGTAGGCTACTAGTGTTCGATCATAGGTGTCTTCGAAGCATTGCTCGTATATCCTGGGACCACCGGGTAAGTAATGCAGTTGTTAGGAAACGAGTACTAGGTAGGGATGGCAAATCGATTGATGAAGTAGTGAAACTTCATCAGTTGAGATGGCTGGGACATGTGTTACGTATGCCCAACCACCGACTGCCCCGACGTGCAATATTTTATAGTGTAGGAGTAGGTTGGAAGAAAGCTAGGGGTGGCCAGACCAAAACGTGGAACAAATCAATGAAGTCACTGACAAGTGGACTGGGCCATGTTGGTAGGTGTAGACTACCTGGTTGGGATTCGCGTGATGACAGCAACCGATGGTTAGAGACCTTGAATGACATGGCTCAAAATCGTTTGCAATGGCGAAGGTGCATCCACTCTTTGTGTTCTACCAAATTCTAATCTTCTGAATTCCTCATGTCTTTATCTTTTTCTCTTTCCAAATTTATTTCACTGTACTATACTCCTTCAATAATTTCTTCAAACTCTAATCTTTCCGATTACTGCTTATACTCTTACTAATTCTTCCACTATGGGATTTGAATCGACAACTGCATCTGTGTGCTAATGTGGTATGGCAACTCGAACTGATGTACGTACGTACGAAGTTCTACGTTGTGACTGACTGACTGTGGTGTTAACTATGAAAATTTTAAAATCATCATAAACCACAAACAACATACTAAAAACAATCGTGTAATCACTAACCACTAACTTTCACAGGCTATTTCAGGAATTCCAGTCAAGAACCGTTATGAGTGGAGTTCAACTGTGTCGAGTGTGAGATAGTTATCTGTTGCAAATAGTGGAAGAGGGTTGCCTCCGATATTGCGAAATGATTAAGGTTACACATGAACACCACTAGATGTAGTTTCAGTTGTTAAAAGCTCGTTTCCATACCTGAGGCTCCTAGGATCGATCCTTGAGGAAGTGCTTTGTTATAATGATGGAATTGTGAGTACGCATTATTGAGCAGTCCTATGCAAGGACTGGGAAACATTTTATCTAATCAGTATTCAATAGAAGTTTCTCATAGACATTTAGAAAATGGAGAGTCACATGCCACATTTCTGACTGGATAATTATCTATCCTGTTTCTATGTTTAATAGGGTTCCAGAACATTACAGAAGCCAAATACCATCTGAAATGCTATAAATAATCTCGATTTTCTGCACATAAACTAACTTTGAAGTAAAGCATTCTCTCCACACTTCATGCCTTGTCTTTTGTGTTCAAGTTGTCGTGTAGATTTAGCTTGGAGCTTAGGAAACCGATTCAAGCGTTAAGTCAGAAAATTTACTAATTTGTTACTTAGACTTTGAACCATATAATGACTTAGTTATGTACAGCTTTCGATCGTATATTCGTGGTTCCCTAGTGATTTTATGCGTTTTTGAGTTTATTTATTATTTATTTGAACACATAAATATTGGTACAAAGGGGAACCAGATATATATGCGCCACACAAATCTCAGTTGATTTGCGTGAGGGATGTGATACTGACCAGGTGGTTTTCTTAGGGGACCATACCCAGAGCCGTTGACCCAGAGATCTGATCCACAATGCAGTGGAGCATCGTAAGGAGATGCAGTCCCATAGTAGCCGGTCACCAACGATTGATTCATACGCCATTTGTTCCTTCAGGATACTGGAGTCAGCCCATGTGCACCATTGGTTTGGAATCAGGGTTTTCCAACTCCCCTAGTTGGACTTTCCGTGTCCACCGATCCGGTTAAAGCACCGGGCATTCGCTTTTCGTCCTCTCAATTTTGTAAACAACACCCCCGCTACGAGGAGGCAATGAGTAGGACTTTCCTGACCATATGAGAGCATTTCGAGAGGGATAGTGGACTCTCCCCACTCTTGGCCGTACCATGGCATTCGGGGGCTGTTTTTGAGTCATAATAATAGAAAGGTAAGTTAGTTTGGTGTTTTTCTGTTACGACTATGCAGTCTAGAAGTAAAGGAAAATTAATCGTACCATTAAATGTCAGGATATCTGGACGTTATTAGTAATCAAGTGTATTTATTTCATTTGGTGAACGTCAATAGTCTGATTATCATACAGTGAACTCATTAGTAGACCCTGTATTTTAATGGGTTCATCGAAATTAATGTTATGACAGAGAACATGTCACCTCACAATGTAAATTATCAAGTACATAAAAAAATGATATAATTTAGCCGTAGTGGATAGATTAAAACGTTCACAAAACAGGTACTTATCGTGATTAATAACACCGTTATTTTTATCCATCCTATAGGCTTTGGGATTCCTTTGAATATAACCGTTAGGATTATCTAAGATTGAATATAAGACCTTGACCTTAATGAGTTATTAAACTAATCCAAACAAACTCGATAATCTCAATCAATATGAAAAGGATCACTAAATGGTATGATTTGAAATTTTCATTTCACACGTCCGCTATATGTATTTTCCTGTTATTAACCATAGTTTCTTTATAGAGATCTATTTTCAAGAGAAAAAAGGTTACTTGGTCGCATCAAATGAATGTTCCAGGAGAATAAGATCAAATAGTCAGGTGAGATAACCATTCTGTCAATAACAACTTAAGCAGTAGCACCAATGATCGAATTAAACGATTTAAATTTTGTGATAACGACTAATTTTAATTTGTAACTAGCATAGTCAAAAAACTACCAGTCATTTAGAAATGTGACTTTTAAAAATAGAGGATATTCGTAGGCTACTGACTTTAATCATAGATACCTTTGAAGGAATGTTCAAATAGTTTAGTTTATCGATTGAATAATGCTCATGTTAAACGCATGGCATACTAGGTATATATGGGAAGTGGGTTGACTAGGTAGCGAGTCTTCAGTTGAGATGTGTACTATCTACACCCAATAGATATCTACTCCGACGTGAGACATTTGTTAGATTAAGAGTAGGTTGGAAAAAAGCTAAGAGCGGTCAAACCAAGACATAGTATGAATCCATAAAGTCATAGCCTGTTGGTCTAAAGGATGTTGACAAACACAGATTTACTTGGTTGGGGTCAATATGATTAATAAATACTTTGAGTCATATAGCTCAGAATTGGTCATAATGGTTCAGATACATTCATTCTTGATCTAAATATTGAGTTAAAGCGTTCCTTAATACATGAGTTTTCATCACATCTTTTGCAATAGTATTCTCAATGTTAAGTCGTCTTACTATCGTTGCTACTACAACCCAAATGACATTTTAATGTAATCCTGTTGTCTTAATTTGGTATGGTTAATCAAGCTAACATATTTGTGTGAGAAGCCGTGACCGGTAGCGTTAATCTGTGTTCAATATAAGACAGTTACTCGACCAACACAGTAGAAAATTCAATATTGTGGATTAATTGAAGTTAGGTTTGCATACCACTGAGTCCTGGCTCAGCGGTCTTAAAGTTAAAAATCTACGAGCCAAACCGAAATGTTTTGGGTTGAATTCCCGGTTGATGAACTATGGATGTGCAGTAGTGCTGAGGAATCCTAAACTAAGATGAAATAACCATTTAGTGCATCCAGATTTCCAATGATGGTTTAAACAGTGATCAGTTCATAGTCTGAACTCAACAATCTCCATAACCCTATAATACTACTACTACGACCACTACATATACAACGGACTAACAAAATGACTTACTGAATAAATTTCAATGAATTGTAATATTCCACATCGACTGTTTCAATATCAGCTAAAGTGATATTTTTATTTAACATACGTTTATAAAATGGTAAAGTGAAACCATTATCAATAAATCTAGAATGATACAATGCTAAAGCGATAAATCGTCCAACAAATCTGTAAAAGAAGAGCAAGGTAGAATGAAAATAAAATAACGATAATTATTATTTGATTTGCTGGAAAAAAATTGGATGTAAACACATGAACAAAATTTCGTGGATTGATAGGAGTTAGACATTAACACCGTTAGATATCGTCCGGATCAGTGGTCTATCGGTTAAGTGCTGTGGTGCGAGACTGGTAGGTTCTAGGTTCGAATCTCACGAGGCGGGATCGTGGATGCGCACTGCCACTGAGGAGTCCCACAGTAGAACGAAACGGTCATCCAGTGCTTCCAGGTTTTCCATGGTGGTCTAGCTTCAATTGACTCATGGTATCAACTATATAAAATTACTAAAATCTCCACAAAACCCCCTTCTGAAAATAAATTATAGATGTATTATCTAGTCAACATACATATATTATTTTGTTGTGGAGTGGACTTAAAATGGTTAAGATGTTCGATTGTTGGCCATTAAATTCAAGGTTTGAATCCCCCACCTTCATGTAGTGAGGGGAGTTGCTTTTTAAAAACTGAAAGGACGAAATGTGAACGTTCAAATATTAAATCGGGTTAATGAATATGGTGCTCACATAGGCGGGTTGGAAAATCGATCATAAACCAATGGTGTACATCTCAACAAGACCCTGGAGAAATGAATAATGAACAGACCTATTTTGCTTACAAGCTAACATGGGAATATGTTTCGTGACGCTTATCCACTGCCTTGTAAATTAGACATCTAATTCAAAGGATAGAAGTATAGTCTAAGAAAACCATCTGCTGTTGCTCGGGAGTCCGTCCAGACAGTATCCCAACCAACAAACAAACATGATGAGCTGCCAATTATTTTCACAAACATGGGTGCATTTTAAAACCAAACTTTACTTTTTAACATCATAACAATAACAAAGATGTTCCAGTTTGAGAAGAGCAATGAATACTGTTGGTGTTATTTTGTCGAAAATTTCCGAAGTCACTAACAACAATAAGTCTAAAACACTGCAATACTAAGTAGTTTCTAACTAAACCCTAGATTCCAATAACACTTGCGACTTGAATACACTGAAAGAAACTAGAAGGTAAAAATGCGTAAAATAATCTACCTACAAGTTTAACAGTCCATATATAAGTAACAAAGGGGTTATTCATACAGTTAGAAGTGATCTCAGAACTGATAAATGGTTAGAGGTAGTGTTATAACGGTCCGTTTTCTTCGTCTACACGAATGGACGTTACTTTACCTCAGACGAATATCTACATTAGATCACCTCCCAGTGTCTATTCTACAGGACATCAACACAACTCAGATCAAGAACACGTGATTAGCCTGACTAGAACGTAAATATATTTCCACACCAAAATCTGACACAATCCGACAATAATCAATAATGAATAATAAGGAAAGGGGAAAATATAACTTATCTGATACCTGTCAGACTATCTACATGCCAGAATAAGCAGACAACCAATCATTATCATTCTCGCCCACACATCAGGTGGTCAGCAAAAAAGCATACTCGACTTAAGCTTTATATTAATTGACAATCGTTAACAAAGCGTGAACCTTCAACAATGAGGGGGGTGGTACTCTACGAAGTCAGGTTCGAACTAATATAACTCAACTTCAAAGCCCGAGACGATACCACTGATCTACTAGAGTCACAACTGACATGAGAAATATAATGTCTTCTAAAAATAGACTACTCAAGTAGGTTTCTTCGAAAAAGTTTTATAACAATACTCCATGATGCCTATGATATAATGAAAACAAAGTACTAATATGGGGATTTATGGAGATTGCAGTATTTTCACATTTGAATTCACGAATCGATCTAACTTAGACCACTATTGAAAACCTGAAAGCACTATAGAGCCGTTTCACCCTAGTATGAAACTCCTCGACAGTGTGCATCCATGATCCCGTACACAGAAACGAGAGTGCTAGGTTCGAGTCCTACGTAGTGATCTAGCTTAAATCAACTAAATAATTCAGTTGAAAAAGTAAAATAACTTTAAGGATAGAATTCAATTGAGAACTATTAGTAGTTATTATTTAGAAACTTCCAAAAATACTATTGTGCAAACATATTCAATTGATTTCATAAAAAAGGTATGAAAAAAAATTCTTTTTTTTCGGTACCATAGTGACAGATTTTGATCTAACTGTTTTATTGATAGTTTTGATAAAAAGAAGGCCCATATTATGCATAGTAATCCCAGAGAAAGGAGAAGGAGAGAGAGAAAGAATGATAAAACGAATCACAAGATCTTAAACACCTACATGACATAAACAATGATCTGTCTGTAAAAAATGTCAATTAATAAAATGATAAAAGAATAATTCATTCAAAGATAAGCAAGTGTTTTTTTTATGAATTGATTTAGTAAACATGTAAAATGGGAACATTTCAATTGGAACATTTCAATTTTTTTTTAAAATATCTTCTTCTACTATCCATTCAGTTATTCTGTTATTTCAATTATGAAGCTGTGAACATAATTGTTAAAATAGTCGACTAGACCACTATGGAAAACCTGAAAGCACTGGACGTCCGTTTTATTCTATTGTGGGACTCCTCAGCAGTACGCATCCACGATCCCGGCTCGCGAGATTGGAACCCAGGACTTATCGCTCTCGTGGGCGAGCACATAACCGATAGACCACTGTTCCGAACGATATCCAAAAGTGTTAATGTCTAAGTTCATTCAATCCACGAAATTGAGGAACGAGGTCTGCTAAGAGATATCAACTCACTGAAGACATTGGTGAATGGTTGCTCAATTTCGTGGATTGAATGAACTTAGACATTAACACCGTTGGATATTGGCCGGATCAGTGGTCTAGAGTTTAAGCGGTCACGCGCGAGACTCATAGTGTTGAGGATGTCAAATCCCCAGAACTTACTTGATAAGTGGCTTAATTTTGTAGTTTTATTTTGAAAATTTGAATCTAGCTGTTTTCGCACCAAAAGCGCTCTTTTTACCTTCACGTGATAATTCCCACTTGTAAACTATATTAAACGCTATTGGTTCATTGTTTCTTTGAGTGTGCTATTTTATAATGATACCCAAGGACAATTTGTTGCTATATATATACGTTTGAGTTTTTCCCCTTATGATTTGCTTGTACTCGGTTGCTTACAGAATACATATTCCCCTACTTCGCCTTGGACTTCTTCATCTAGTTAGCGGGGCCTGGGACAACAGATTAGATTAGCTTATCGTGTCATTGGCATTCGTTCGTTACCGCAAAAATCGATTTAGCTCAAGCATATCATTTGGCGATGGTGGTTTGGAAACATGTATCCTTCTAAACTCCAATCATTACTTGATTAGCAGCTGAAACTCATACAAATGCTGACAGATATGAAAGTTTCGCCCCCCACACAGCCTAGCACATCTAACGCAACCACAGCACGATCAGTAGACGGCATCGCAAATAGCATTGCTGAGTTTCATTATGATCCTGATGCCAACGTTACTTTTGACATGTGGTTCCGGCATTATGAAGACCTATTTAAATTTGATTTTGCCAATCAAGATGATGCTTGGAAGGTGCGACTGCTACTTCGAAAGTTGGGTGCAAGTGAGCTGGACAGGTGCTGCAAGTTGATCCTGCCTTTGAATCCACGTGATCGCCGTTTCGCAGACACAGACCAGTCCCTACGCCTCATCAAAACTTCTTGATCTAGTTAGCTGGGCCGAGGACAACGGATTAGAACTAGCCTATCGAATCACTGTGTCATTAACCATTGTTCCGTCCACCGAGTAATACGAACTCGTAATAGCATCAAGCATATCATATAGTATATCTAAAATATACGATTCCTACAAGTGGAGTATGAGAGTACTCAGTGGTTAAGCGCTTGCGCGAGACTGATAGGTCCTAGGTTCGAATCTCACGAGGCGGGATCGTGGATGCGCACTGCCACTGAGGAGTCCCACAATAGGATGAAACGGCCGTCCAGTGCTTCCAGATTTTTCATAGTGGTTTAGCTTCAATTGACTCATGATTTCAACTATATAAAATTATTAAAATCTTCACAAAACCCCCTTCTGAAAATAGTCGAATATCAACAGGTAGATCATAAGTTTTAATCCCGTGCTCTACCTAATTTAACTACCTAATTTGAAATAGGCAGTCAGTAAAGTGTTTCTTTACAACTGATTAACATTATCTCTTAAAATTGCTCATAGGAAATGAAGCAGTTGAGTATATTTGTACCCTATGCAATATTAATACTAGCGTTAAAATTGTGAATTTTCATCGAGTGAAATGAATTAGATATGTGTTACATTTATCCAACCACCATTTACTTTTATCTACGATATTAGCTAGTGAAGAAAACTAGATTCGGGAATCAGTTCATTAAATCATTGACTATTGGTCTGAGTCATCTGGACAGAACCAGCCTACCTAGTCAGGGTTCATGTGACAATCAACACTGAATAATATGGTTAAGAATTCGTCGCAGAAGCACAGATGTATTTACTCTTTTTATTCTGTCTAGATCCTGACTTCAAATACTCCTTGATACATATCTTTTTATTCCGTCTCTTAGAATCGTATTCTTAATCTTTAATGTGTCTTATTAGCATTGGTACTCATTAGGTTAATTTCAGATGTTTGCGTTGATAATGGTATACCAACTTGAGTTAAAGCATATTTACGCCAAGCTCTATGTTAAATATGACTGACTGATGTATTTACAAATAAAATGAATCGAATATAACTTACAGACACAATAATCATAAAATACATGGAATATGGCTAGCAATGTAATCCAGGACACGTATTACGTCCCCATAAGGGACCCGTCAACTGAATGTACTTACATTTCAAAGTTGATATTTACTCTGAGACCCGAACTATCATTCGCCTTACACGCCTAATCCACTATCTACTTAGCTGATGAGTTCAGTTTTTACAACGGATCTGCACTAAATGGTAATCATTGTCAAGCATCTATGATTTTCTTTATAAAACAACTAAAAATTAACAGACTACACACAAAAACCAACTTGGGCATCACTTTAATAGCCACAATCAACATAAAACACCTACCGAAAATATTCTAAATGTTCCGGATTAACCGATGATGCAGGATTAATTTGTAATGCATAATTATTACCACTGGCGTATTCAAATAAACAATACATTGGATTTAATAATTCTGTAGATAGTTTGAAAAACCACTCTCTGAAAAAAAAATAGAGAAAAATAGAAATTCACGTTGACAAAGGTTATGAATGGGGAATGAATCAGTCATTTTATTATCACATTAGAAATAAAAACATTAACCCAACCAGAAATCGACCAAATGATAAGCATATTCAATTGGCCAAGTAATGGTCTATATTTCTAAAGGGGGGGGAGACATACAATATTGGTGATTTGATTTTCCAAGGGATATATATATCCACTTGAGGAGTGGGTGTGGTTCGTATACATTTAGATTGTACATCGGTATCAGCTCTCAAATACTGCACGTCATAACCGATATAACTAGACATATAGTAGGTGAGTCGAAGGTACGTGGTGTAGTGTATATATTGAATACTTTGTTAATATATTAACAATGTAATATGAACAATAGTGCAGAATGCACGCCATTTCGTTTATAAGAATCATCAAATCGATACAAATTACTAAGCAGTAATAAATATGAAGTTCATATATGAAGTTCACATTATTGAAGAAGACATCATTTCGAAGTAGCCTAGAGACTAACATTTTCGATTGCTAAAACAAATGATAATAACGTAATATAATCAAATTTAGAGTTAATGTATAAGTCACTATATTATACTTTATCATAAAAATGGCATAGACTTGTCTTACTAGTATACAAACCGACAATATGTACAGAAATACATAATGAATAAGAACTAAATTAGACTTTGATACAGAAAACACCACATATATTCATCATAGATGGAAGGTATGTGAAACATTCTAAAGATTAAAACCTTCGGTTTGTTTAAACACATTATTTATAAGAGTCAAAGTTGCTTTAGAAGTGGTCTGTGTCAACACCTAAATAACGATGGAGAGTGTGGTTGTTGAATGGTTCGACCGTTTCACTTATCTTGAAAGTTTCATAAACTCTTGTGAATTGGTGTCTCATAAAATCTCAGCACGAATTCATAAATCTTAGGTGGTTTTAGCTAACTGAAGGACAAGTATACAGAGTAGCACTTTGTTCAGTCCTAATAAACGTGAACTTTTAAGATAGAGAATAGTCACAAATGACTGTGATTCGACCATAGATTCGTCTGAGGCAATGTTTGTATATTTTTGATTCGTCAAGTTAAAAATTCTCAGATTAGACGAAGGATATTAGGTAGGAATCTAAAACTGGTTGATGAGGTTGCAAATGCTTATCGACATAATGTGTGAAATTCAACGGCCGAGTTCTTTAGAATCATATACAAAGGTTGTTTTTTAACCCAATTTTTTTATTACTTCGAATCCATCAAGCTTTCCATATAATAAAAGTCTTTTTAGATATACGTAATGCTACTCTCTACTTTTATCTCGTTGAACAGATTTCCATTTAGGTAGACCTTCCACAGATTGTGGATAAAAGTCCAGTATATAAAAATGCATTTTCAAGTAAGTGGATTATTATCCCTAGACAGAGTTAATTAGTAGTAGCTATACATGTCTAGAACACAGCGATCACCAAATACATCACATTTGACGACGAAACTCTGGAAGAGGTGAAAGGCCTTACATACCTGGGGGCAGCATGAAGGATAAACAAGCAGGATTTAATGTAGATGCCAAGGCAAGAATTGGCAAGGCAGGGGGAGCATTCCCACTATCGAAGAATATCTAGAAATACAAAGAACTGTCAGCCAACACTAAAGTCAGAATTTTTTAATACAAACGTCAAGATAGTTCTATCGTACGTTGCTGAAACATGAAGAACTACTACAATCAACATTAAAAAAAACTACAGGTATTTATAAACGCAAGATATTCCAGATTCGTTGTCCAGACACCATTATCAATAGTCAGTTGTGACAGAGAGCACACCAACTTTCACTTGAAAAGGAAAAGAGTCTGGAAGTGGATAAGACACACATTGAGGAAACCATCAAATCGCGTCATAACACACCAAGCCCTAACTTGGAATCCCGTAGACGAAAGGAAAAGAAGTAGACCAAGTAATACATGACTCTATGGATTGAAAAAATGTCAAAAAGATGTATAGCACTTGGCAAAAGCTAACAAAGTCTAGGATAGTTGTCTGGAGATTCCTGGTCAGGCTTAAGTAAGCAAGGAATATATCCCTAGTTTAATCAACGTAATAACAAAATGAACAGAAAACTTCACAGTCGATTTTAAAAAATATACATAACCTTGATGAAACTTTTCCTTTACGAATTACACATACCTTGATAACCCGCCATAGTCTAAACCTTCTTCACCAGTAAATGAAATGAACAAACGACAACGTAATTCATGTGGTTTCAATCGCATAACTTGTTCAAATGAATCCACTAGAAGGTTACCACGGGATACAACAACTTTTACATTTTTTGTCACTAAATTCGAATGACAAAGATAATGGAAACTGGCGACTTTATTTTCAAATGACCATGCTTGTTCAATATTCCCACTGTTGAAATTTGAATAAAGAAAAATAGAGGGAAAATTAAGAATAAAATAATTAGATCTAATATTGATATCACAAACCGATCTAAGTTAGGTATTTATTGAAACCAGAAAGTACAGGACATCTGTTTTGTCTTGATATAGAACTTTCCAACAGTGTTTATCGATGACCTTGCCACCGAAGACCGAACCCAGGAACTTCAGGTCTCCTTGCAGCCACTTAACCTTTAGCCTATTAAGCTGGGATAAAATGGTTTACATGCCTAACGTCAATCAATAGGTGATAATGAGAGATCAACTTCCATTGTTTTCGGATAGAAAATGCTGTACACCTGACATGGTTGAACACCAGTAATCGCAACTCACTAGAACTAAAGCAATTATCCCTTGGAATCAGTAACTAATATGTACTGAAGAAAAGTCATATATTAGAACGAGATGGCTATCCAGTGCTAACTGGTTTCCAAAGATTGACTAATTTAGGTTGGCTCATGATCTCAATAATATCTAATAGTCTCTACAAACTCTACTGATAATTAACTGTTTAAAAAAATTAAACATCAGTGATTTTATTAGTATGGGCTTGTGATTTCTCATTCTTGATATTAGGGACTCCAACTGATAAGTCTCTATTGGCATATTTCCATGTTGAGCGAGCTACATCGATATTACCGAAACGGTAAAGTTTAATTCTAGCTAGTAGTGATATTCAAGATTTGCATTTCACTCTACTCGGAACTCGTCAGCTTAACGTACCTGTAGAACCAACGCGTTATCCACTGAGCAATAACTACTAGGTGTACGTCAACACTGGAGTCTAGATATATCCAGTTAATAACTGGAGAAAAGAACAGAAGGCAAGTTCTGGATCCCACTGCTAACCTCGTAAGAGTTCGAATCTGCGAATCACGGGCTGGGAGATAAGTATTTGATCAGCAATTAAGTCTGTTTCTTGGTTAGCCTGATATAAGTGCGTCTACAAAGCACCGGTTTCTTGCGTAACGCTTATACAACTACAACGCCATTATATAGATCTCATACTAGTAAACGTCTCGACCGAACCACGTATAACACTACACCATAAATTCCCCATACTAACATAAAACATGTACTCACTGGTGACTGGCTTCAAGGTGTAACTCCCGGAGTTCAAGTGAGAACCTGTGACCAGCGGAACTCAATCTGTATAGGGTTTGAGATAGTTATCCACCTCAGACAATGAAAGAAGGATTCTGCAAGATCATAGATTGATTGATATTAACACTACTGGATGTCTGCTCAGTCGTGTGCAGGTTAAGCGTTCACGTGAGATACCGAAAAGTCCAAGGTTTAAGATTATCAATACACAATACTGAGAAGTTCCATACTAGAACAAGATGGTCATCCAATGTTTCTACGTTTTCAACAGTGATCTAGCTTAAATCGACTTGTGATTTCAACTGTAAAAATACAACAATCTCCACAAATCCCTTATACTAAAAACGAAACGACGCGGTTATGATTGCCTGGAAATATTTTGTCTCAAAGCTTAAGAATTAAATAATGTTAAGAAAAAAGGAAAACACTAACCTTGCATCTTTTCGTCTAGGATCATTGTATGTCGATGTTTTAGTATTATGATCAACAAAAAATGGAAATCCTTCAGTTGTATAACGAATTTCCCAACCATGAGGTAATGGATGACCTTGTATACGAGGATCTTCCCATTGAGAGATTCGACTAACATGGTTAACAAAATACGAACGGCCAGACATGTCGACACGTCGTTCTAAGGAAGTAAAAAGAATTTATTAACACACTTCTACCTAAATAATGACGACTTTTCGGATGTTAAAAGAATATATGCATGTAAAAGTGGATTGTGATTAGCAGTGAAATCTACAATGGTCATTTTGTCCCATATGGGAGTCATCAGTCGGCTGGGTATACCTGAATCAAAGTGTTGCTGGTGTGCACACTGGGACTAGAATCCAGTACTTTCCGATTTTTTCGGTGTTGTTTGAGTCCTCTGAGCTTCCGCTGTGGTTTGGAACATCATCGGCTTCTTAGTTATTTCACAAGTTTTAGATTAGTTTATTCTCGTATCTTTGGATGTGATTGATTATCCTATCAAGTTTTATTATCTTTAACTGTCCTTATACCTAGGTCAACTATTTTGTTCCGTTGACCTACGAGCAGGTTGTTGATTGATCGTTTCAGTTCAAACACTAACGAGTTATCAGCTTAATTACAGTTACTGCGTTTGAATCTCGGAGCGAACATCAACTCTGATACAGGTATACTCATGTGACAGGTCCCAAATAGGGAGAAATGTGAGGTCTGTATTCCACTACTAGCTACATTCCATCAATTCTGTGCAAACTATTTTATTACGATTATAATCAAAATCACTAAAAAAAATTATTGGTGGGATGATTGTTCGAGCACACAAGTGTTCAGTTAAGAAGTTACATTTGTTGGTTTCATGCTTTACAGGGATAAATTTAATATTTGGGAAACTATTTTTAGTGCAAAAAATATTGGACTTGAACAAGTTCGTTCATATCTTACATAAATCCTCGAAGGCTAGTGATCGGTACTAGTCAGCTGCCCAGACCATGGTAGTCATACTCTCATGTAAGAGGTTCCGAATAGGTGCTATATAATCAGCTGAAAGTAGAGTGGGCGTTACTTATTTTATTGATACACAATGCCTTAGTGGTTGAAGCAATCGAACTACACTATCTCCAGAAACTTTCACAAAACACAATTCTTTCTATACATGGTCGGCAATGTTTAAAAAAAGGTAAATTTACCCCAGTTGGCTGGTAGAGGACCTAATGGATCCATAACACCGCCAGTTGAAGTATTTGTTCGTGAACTAGCATCTAATGATTCTGATTCACCTAAATTCCAAACAGCATTCGCATAACGTTCATTCATTCGTTGTTGCATAATACCATTTCGTGAAGCAGTCATTTGTTGATAATTTTGTACTGTATTTAAAAGTGTTTGATTTGGACAAAGCCATGTTGTAGTTCGAGTATTATGATCGATATAATACACTCGACCAACATTATCTCTTCTTCGTTCCCATCTATAACAAAAATGAAAAATATGTCTCTTCTAAACGGATTCTATTGAATAAAATTCTATTCAAGGTAAAATTGGGCTATACTGGGAAACGACTTTGATACCTCAAACCGTCTCAGCCAATCAGAAGATAGATACAGAAAATGAATGATTTACTTAATGAAAAGAAAGATTTTAGATAGGATACATCAATTCCACGTTATTATTACATTTATTCAAGGTTTTTTTGATGAATTTTCTGAAGTTTAATTAGCTGACGTTCGGCTTTGAAACGTGTCTGAATGAATCGATAGAAGACTACCTTGGGAACCTTTAAACGGTTGGAAGAAATACTAGAAATGACTCCTTGTAGCTTCGTAGTACTTGTGATGAACAGCTTCCCTCACACAATTTATTATTTTATTTAAACACATAAACATTGGTACAAAGGAGAATCAAAATATATATGAGCTACACAAAATTTGTGTTAAAGTTGGGATATTCCCCTACTGCCCAAAACCGAAACAGGGGATTTTGTTAAAAAGATCACTCCCTGAGCCTCCCGCCTAGAGGTCCAATCCACAACTCAGTTGAGCAACGTTAGGAGATGTGGTCCCATGGTAACCGGTGACCAATCATAGGTTTGTACATTATCTGTCCCCTCTCAAGATTCTGGCGCCTACGTGCACCATTGGTTTGGGAGTCAGGGTTTTTCAACTTCCTTAGGTGGATGTCCCGTAACCAATATTTCAATCTGAGCATCGGACATTCGCTACCAGTCCTCTCAGTTTTGCAAGAAATAAAGGCAGTGTATAGAACTTCTCTAGTAGTAGCTATAAACCCGTTGTCTTGTGACAGCATTTCGAGAGGGAGAGCGGACTCCCCCTGCCATCGACTGTATCAACACATTTAGGGGCAAATACATTTTAATGGAAATACTTCACGAAAAAAGGATTATGAAGGTGGGAGGGGTGAGTTTACTAAGGTGAGAGGAGAAAAAGCGGAAGTCCGACAATCTAACTGGTTTGGTTGATAATTACAGAAAGTTAACTTAAAGTAGATGTAAAAATCTGGTTTTGAAAAAATGGCGCAAATAGCTCTAGAATCCTGAAGAAATGAATTGCGAACGAATCTACTTTGGCAACACGTTACCACTGGACTACATCTCCTGATTTCGCACCACTGACTTATGAATTAGTCTTCTATGTCAAAGAAACGGGTTCGAGTGTTAAGGGAGTAGTCCCAACTCACATACAAATATGACGATGATTGCTAATGAACGATTATTCAGATTGATACTGAGATCAGGATGTAAGGTACTAAGTAAAAGGTGACAAATCGATTAATGAAGTCTATAACCTTTCGCAGACTGAGTTGTTTAGAACAAATGCTTCTAGGTTTTCTATGGCGGTCTAGCTTCAATTGACTAATGAACTCAGCTATTGAAGTTATTATAATATCCACAAAACCCTTTTCTAATAAAAATGCTATGTTTTATCTCTTTCGAGTTTTAATCTAATTTACTTCTAATCCAGCCAACATTGCATGTAATACAAGTGTTCATGTGTAATTCAATAAAAGCTGAACACAAAAAACCTATACTTAACATATATAGCATATATATAACCTACGTATTTATGGGTCAAGCTGGCACACTAACTACTTCACACATACAAACACTCACAGTGTAGGATAAAATTGTGTCAACCATTTATAAACCCTCTAACGAAGAAAAAACCAATGATGAACTTACCCAGGTGGAAGTGGAGTAGGTTTACACCAAGTTGTTGTTTTTGTTAAATGATCCACATAATATACTCGTCCTTCTGAAGTATATTTAGCTTCCCAACCAGGTGGTAACGAGGAATCATTGGGATTCGTTGTGTTGTTAATATTATTATTACTGTGATTAGCAGATGAGTTTAAAGTTGGTCCAACCCCTCCGCCACCACTGTCTACCAAGTGATTATTCATCGTACGATCAGTAGACGGTGATCTTACTGTAATATTTGAAGTTGATTCTGATTGTGATCCAGAAGTATGACGACCATTAACCTTGGACAGTGAAAAAGTAGAATAAACTTAACAGATGAGTAGATTTTTAGTTAACCTGATTATTCAATACAAACTAGCTAGTTCATTCAATATCCCAATCAAAACATTACATATATACTGGCCAATTAACATTATATCTAGAAAATATTGATCAACAAATGAAACCAATTAGATTTGTATTTAGTAACCAGTTTATAGGCTATTACAATTATAATAAACTGATCAGTAGTCAATAAATACACATGACAACAAAAAAGGTGAATGAACTGATCAATAAACAAACACACACACGTACGCACATATGGAACGTGTTATGATGATCGGTGTCCGAGATCCGATACTGATATACAACGAGCTATATGCTAACCACCTACCCCAAAACTGATGACTTGAGAGAGAACACAAGAGTGGAAGGAGGAGCCTCATGAGCTACCGAACAATATGAATAAATTTTCGCCTATATGTGTTTACATACCCCTTAGAAAATCGATCCACGTCTTAGTCATTGACATGTATTTGTCCACTTTTGATTGGCTCACTACATCAGAACGAATGTGATGCAAATTTTTTGCTGGAGTTATGATACACTTATATGCATTATTACTGCAGTATAACAAGGCAATGGGCAGAATTTTTTATTGTGACAAATTACAAAGCCTTTACATAATGCATATATATGTAACCTTCGATCGTCCGTTTGTACCTTGCGGTGTATTCTGCTTGTCTGGCCATCAGGTGTTCTGTCTGTACCGTGCATTTGATGTACAGAAACTTTCATCTACGTCTGACGACTGTGACAACTTTGACGCCAAGTTCCGCTACATACTACTTACATGCAATTTTGTGAGTATTATCCACCAAACTACCACTACTTATCTATCCTATAGCAAAGTGATCGAAGCAATACGCGTAATTATTTTAAAAACAAGTGTTTATTATAACTCAGTGACTAAATTAAAATTTAATGAATTGATCATTGAGTAAATGTGATGAGCGAAGTTATGATCGTTTAGTTATTTGGTGCTGATTAAATTCCATCAATCAAGCTGTAATGTGGTCACTAGTTTAAGTGACTTGACATTGTACACACTCTGTTTTCATATGAAGTGATTGGAATTACTCAGAAGGAGATCCTTTTCTAAAACTAGATTGGTACTCGCCACTTCCTTAACGACTGCAGGTACGTCTTGTTGATTAGGGAACATGAATATCTCAGTTCTACAGCAGGTTGATTTCGACCCTTATACAATAGATTGTGAGCTGGGAGATACGGGTTTGAATCCCACAGGGTGAAGCACCAAACTGCCTAGAAATTCCAAGTACGCCTCAATGACAACTAGTGAACACCACGAAACATAGAGTCAAAATTAGGACATCAGTTTATGGTAGCAATCATCCAGTTAAAACCATGCAGTTTGACATATGATTTAGGTGAATATCAAAACATTTTTTGTTTGGTAAAGACAAATTATTAACCCATACAAACTAATGATCAGCACAAAATAGCTCACTATTGAAGTACAGGTTTGTGTACTCAGCTTTAAATCACGCTTTTGATGTATGAGAGTCAGTGATACTCATTATTGCTACTAAGGTACCCTAATCGGAGTGAAACAGAATTTAAATATGTAGCTTAACGGTTAAAAGTGGCAATTTTTAACGATTAAGCAAAGCTTCATTTCACAGCTGCTAACTTGATGTGATGGTTGGAACAGGATATTGTAATGACTCAATCAAATTACAGTAGACAGAACACCCATTTATTTAGGCACTACCACAATCCCAGGTAGATCATTCAGAGAGAGAAAGAAAGGCAAAACTAAAAGCATCAAAATTAAGGTACGACAGCGGATCTGTATTGCTCACTCTACATGGATGTAATATTAGTAGAGTGTTTCCATCGAATAACTAGCATCCTCAACGATGCTGTCTTCCCACAACAAAACAAAGGGGGTTAAAAAAGGCTCTAATATAAACCACGCTTTTTAAAACTGGTGACTAATTTATTGTGAAGTAATGTAAACAACTTTCTGGTTATCAAAGAAGATAGTTTAATTGGCTGTGGTTACAAATTAGAAGTTGACTCATTAGACTAACCAGTTAGTCATAGGCGATGTAAAATCTTGGACAGTTCAGCATCTATTTAAGTTGTCGTATAACATAATAAGCAGACAGTTGAAATTATCAAGACCAAAAGCAAAGTAATAGAAATTTATCAATAGACAACATGATTCCAGAAGAATGAATCGATGTAACAAACAGCATGAAATAATTTAAAACCTCTGCATCTAAAGGATAATAAAGAATAAGCATATTTACGCCACTGTGACCGATTCTGCATCACGTCACACAGCATCTCTAACCATCGTTTATGATGATCAAGTGGACTTTAGCGAAGTAGTCTTTATCAACCAATATGGCTCAGTCCTAAAGTCAATGACTTCATGGACTAATCCTATGGTTAGTTCTGGTCCCACTTAGCCTTCTTCTAACCCACTCCTACGTCAACCGACATTGTGTTTATGTTGGGGATGTCAAATCCCCAGAACTTACTTGATAAGTGGCTCAATTTTGTAGTTTTATTTTGGAAATTTGAATTTAGCTGTTTTCGCGCCAAAACGTGCTCTTATTACCTTCACATCGTATTTCCCACTTGTAACTATCTTAAACGCTATTGGTCCATTGTTTCTTTGTGTGTGCTAATTATTAACGATGCCCAAGGACATTTCGTTGCTGTATAAATACGCTTGACTTTTTCCCTTGTTTGATTACTGTGCTTCTGGCTGCTACGGAATATAACTTCCCCGCTCCAACTTGGACTTCTTACTCTAGTTAGCTGGGTCTGGGTTGCGTCAGTATAGCTAGTTATCGGTATCTGGTCACGTGTCTTTGTTCCGTTCGTTACTAGTGAATTCGTAACGCTTCAGATATATCAGTTTATTATATGAAAAGGACGGGAATATGAATTCAATATAAATTTTCACAACGATTAGATAACTGATGTGTATTTGGTTGAAGATTTTAAGTCTAAAAGTTTTAAACTAGTCGCATTAGTATAGACACATTTATTTATCTTCCTATAAACCTTGATTTTAAACAATACTATTTCACTTTTTATTTATTATTATTTAAACACATAAATATTGGTATGAACGGGCACCAGATATATATATGCGCCACACAAATCTCAGTTGATTTGTGTGAGGGATGTGATACTACCCAGGTGCCCAAACTGAAGCAGGTGGTTTACTTAGGGGGCCACACGCGGAGCCTTTGACCTAAAGGTCTGATCCACAAGGCGGTGGAGCAATGTCAGGAGATGCTGTCCTATGGTAGCCGGTGACCAACAATAAGTTCATACGCCATTTGTTCCCTCAGAATACTGGAGTTAGCCCATGTGCACCATTGGTTTGGAACCAGGGTTTTCCAACTACCCTAGGTGGACTCTCCGCGTCCACCAACCCGGTTAAAGCTCCTGCCGGACATTCGTAAACAACACCCCACCCTGCCACGATAAGGCAGTGAGTAGGACTTCCCTGGCAGAAGCTATATACGTGTGACCATGTGAGAATATTTGGAGGCATTTCACTTTTGCATATATATGTATATATATATATGCCATTTTAGGCTTAGTTTTTCGTTTGTTATCCAATTGAAACGATGATAAAAATTTCGACTACTCTTCTTTTCTTTTTCTTTTGCTGTGATAATTGTGAAATTTAGCAATTTGTTCAAACTCCTATGACTTGACAAAGTACAAATTCATGTAACTAGCTTTTATTCAAACTATTATATGTTTTGTCAAAACAACTGTCAACTAACTTCAAGGTGAAAATCTTCAATACGAATGTCAAAACAGTCCTACTGTATGGAGCTGAAACGAAGAGAACTACTAAAACCATCGTCAAGAAGGTACAAGTATTTATAAACAGTTGTTTACGCAAAAGACTCAACATTCACTGGCCGGATGCTATCAGCAACAGTGTTTTATTGGAGAGGACAAACCAGCTTCCAGTTGAATAGGAAATTAGGAAAAGACGTTGGAAGTGGATAGGACATACATTAAGGAAATCACCAATGTGCATCACGAGGTAATCCCTAACTTGGAATCCGGAAAGGAAGCGGAAAAGAGGAAGGCCAAAAAACACATTACGCCGGGGAATAGAAGCAGATATGAAAAGAATGAATGTTAAATGGAAAGGACAGGATTGGATGGAGAATACTGGTGTGCGGCCTATGCTCCTCTGAAGGTCCTCAGTTCGATTCCAAGTAGTAGAGTCGTGGGTGTGTAGTGCTGAAGAACCCCGAACTAGGACGAGACGGCCGTCCAGTGCTTTCAGGTTTTTAATAGTCTTTTTAATTTGATCGGTTCGTGATTTCAATTCAGAAATGAACCCCCAATGCACAATAAAATTCTTTCACCCATCTTAAAATATATCAGTAATCACAATCTGTACGAAATAAGAAAGACTGTTAAAATTCGATCTCTGCATTGCAATCTTACTAACTTACAGAATTGGCTGTTATTCTGGATATTGATCTGGATAAATGTTGAGCTAATAATGCACTGCTTAATTCACGTATTCCCACGGAAATCGACAGATCAATACTGCCTAATGAACTCGATGAAGAAATCGTAGAATTATACAACCATGGAAGTGGTTTAATTGGTTGTGAAAATGCCAAATTGTTCACTGCAAAAAAAGAAGAAACAAGAAAGAAAGAAAATAGAGAAACAATAACTAATATATAGTTGGCAAGAACAATTCAATTTAGCAAAATGTAAACAAATTCAAAGAATTAAGTAGATTTATAAATCATATCTATCATGTGAAAAATAATGAGACTAACCGACTATTACAACAACTATTAATACTATCCTGGTGAAGTGAGTTAGAATTGTAGATGTATTCACGTTGTATCTCGTCTGTCTAGATTTCGAATTCCAGTATTCATTCATATAAACCATTTATTATTACTACATCTTCCCAAATTATAATTCAAATGTTTAATATGGTTAAACATGCTTCTTATTATCACTGTTAGTACGTTTAGCTCGGCCCCCAAATGCCCTGCTACGGTCGAGAGTGGGGAGAGTCCGCTACCCCTCTCCAAATGCTCTCACACGGCCACGCGTATATAGCCTTTGTCAGGGGAGTCCTACTAACTACCTTCTCGTCGTGGGGGGTGTTGTTCACGGAATTGAGAGGAAGAAAAGCGAATGCCCGGTGCTTTAACCGGGTTGGTGGACATGGAAAGTCCACCTAGGGCAGTCTGAAAACCCTTATTCCAAACCAATGGTGCACATGGGCTGGCTCCAGTATTCTGAGGGAACAAATGGCGTATGAACTTATTGTTGGTCACCGGCTACCATAGGACAGCATCTCCTGACATTGCTCCACCGCCTTGTGGATCAGACCTTTAGGTCAAAGGCTCCGCGTGTGGCCCCCTAAGTAAACCACCTGCTTCAGTTTGGGCACCTGGGTAGTATCACATCCCTCACACAAATCAACTGAGATTTGTGTGGCGCATATATATATCTGGTGCCCGTTCATACCAATATTTATGTGCTTCCACTACATAAAGTTGTATATCTGTTAAATAGTAAATAATTTAGCAATTACAATCAGCATACTGAAATCAAAGTTCCAGTGTAAATAATCAATAGGTAAAACAAAATAATGATTGTAAATGTGATTTAAGCATAAAATGATCAAAGCTTTCACAGTGAGTTGTTGTTTTTTAGTTCATCTAACAGTCTATTGCAAAGATATATATCTCAATAACTGATATAATTGGGTGAATATTGTTTCAATATAACTTACGAAACCATCATACTGAGGTGTATTATACTGGTTGTTCTGATTTTCCCATTGATGTTTAGGACCGTAATCGATCCATGCTGTACGGATTACTTCAATATTACTTCTAAGTCACAAGCATTTTAAGCAAAGATGGATGGTGGCTAGAAGTGGAATCAAGGATATGTGTTTCATCCTATTAGGGCTGGATGTACCTCCATTCTAAAGTTGATGTTTACTACAAAACTCGAACTCAATACAGTTTGCTTCAAACGCCATCACATTTTCTACTTAACTACTGAGCTAATATAGTCACTGGATTATCATATTAATAATTATTATTTACATTTTTATTGTTTAGTAATGAGAGGCTTGAACCGTTGTGTTATCATGATTTCCGATTTCTAAGCATTCGTTTAATCTATAAATCATTATCATACCTCCCTTATTACCCCGGTATGTATCATTTATATCTTAATTATGCCCATGGTAGAATTTTCTAATGATATTGTTATGTGATCAAACATTTTAAGTATATTTTTGTATGAGCTTTGAGTCATAAGTGACTTGAGTACAACAGAGAATTGATCTGCTTTTTACCTGTCATTTGACTGATCACTGGGTTCGGAGGAATTTGACGATTGATAAATGTTAAGGTTATTGCCGCTCATTAGTAAATAGGTCACCGGTTCTCCTGACAATATAGGTGAACTAACCGATAATCGAACTGGAAAAAGAGGTCATACTACTGACTGAGAATTCAGATAACAGTAGTAATATGTCCTCACCTTAACCAATACAGGTGAGGCAATAATTAAGGAAGATGTACTTTTAAAGATGTGAAATTACAGAACAAAGGCAGAGAGAGATTACACGGTGCAACAGATGCTATTGTGAAAGAAGGTATCATGAATGTCAAAGGTCATATAGCCTATATATCCTTATCAATCTACTAAGCTAATACACAAGCGTGAGCTATGAACAGCATTATATAGCTTTTCCACGCAGCCTTTAAATTCTTTCTATGACATTCTACCTGATCACCGAAAAAATCTTGTGATCTTAAGCCTAGACATTCTTACTTCCATGCCACTACATTTTACTCTTACAGTTTTTTTTTAAGTACCCTTATCAAAAGTAAAGGATGTAATCATGGTTCCAGAACACAAAAAATAACACCCATAATAGTTGCAGGAACAGAATGTCGTCTAATTTGGTATGAACAACCAGATGTGATATCATATAAGGTATCACTTGGGAAAAAATGTATGGGAACAGAGTAAAAACGGGCGATCAACACTACACTGACTCAATGTAGTGGGTGCTTCTAAGTCATATATTATTGATCATTTCCTGATCAACAACTTCAGTAGTTCACTTCATATATTTATCGAAAAGATGATAAATACAACGGTTTTTCCTAGTCATTTTACAGGAAAACTTCCCAACCGAAGAAGTCACAGCAATGACAACGTCATGGACACTTGAAGCAATAAAAAAACACTGTAGATTATTACATAATAATAGTATGAACTACATTTTTCGCATGTTATAAAACTTATTACAGGTGCTTTTGATTGAATTTGAAACAGTCTTATTTGCGATATGCGTGCATCTCTCGATATAACCACTTTATAACAAGCGCGTACAGAATAGATGTAATCTAGCTAGCAGTGAAATTCGGGACGCATGTTAGATTCGATTTTAAACTAGTCCGTTAAATGTGTCTGCATCTCAGGGTTGACGTCCACTTCGGGATCCAAACTCAGTACGACTCGCTTTAAAGGCTATAAAAACTTATGACACAATGGCCATATGGAGGCAATCCGCAAAATATACATACATGTGCGAACTAAGATGAATTAAAATTAAGTCAAAATATCAACAATGGGAAAACTTAAAAACTACTAAAAATTGGTTGGCGGCAGTTCAGCAAATTGACTGAGTTTCTGAAACCAGAAATTACTAATCATACACTACTAAGTAGTTGTTTGAATATCATGCATATACAACAAAAAGAAAATAAGAAATGAGGATGATAGACACCGATGATAACGACTAGGGGGAGTAGTTGAACTTACATTGATTCCCATTGGTAGCTGCAACACTGCGAACAGTAAATCGAGCATAGCCAACTTCAGTACCTTCATCACGTTTACTATCACGTACAGAAAGACGAAATTCTATAATACTATCAACATCAGCTTTGAAATTGACAATTTGATCGAAATAAGGACGTGGACCACGTACAATAGGAGTTACATAGAATGGAATAGAATTTATAGCTGGTATAGTAGATGATCCTGGTGGTAGAACTTCAGCAGTAAAATTAAATTTACACTTGTTTAGTTGTATTCTAGCCAATGAATTCCAATCCAATGATTGATCAAAATGTGCACGTTTAACTGAAACAAGTTATATGTCATTAAAATAAAATCTGGTTCGGAAAAAATTTAAAAAATCAACGTACATCAAAAGTTACAGCAACGATTATAACAAATATGACATTGATTCATTACTAAACTGTTTGACCTCAATGGTCCCATAGAGAGGGGAATATCAGTATCCACTTGAAAACTGTAAATACACATTTCGCTTATTGACGAGTGTCAGTTAGGTCGAAAGAAAGTTAGGTTTCCTCCTAACTATCTTTCCAACAATGTAGATGAAAACTAGAAGTTATACACACAAATGCAGATCTGGCTGTTAAAGGGGTAATTTGTTTATTTATTTAAACATATATATTGGTACAAAGGGGCACCAAATACATATGCGCCAGACGGGGTAAAGGAGAAAAGGATAATGTGACAACTGAATAACGGTAGTAGCAATTCACTTGTACGTTGGCACGAATATTACTGATGAGTATTTATATCAGATACTTGTTTGATGAAAATCTCATATAAGCCTAACTAAATTGTGTCTTTTTTGATTTGTTAATTATTGTTACATCATTTGACGATCAATAACTAACAGAGTTAATTAACTATAAGTTGCTCACTTCTAGTAACAAAAAAGCCGACCTACTTATCTATCGACTGGAATTTATAAATTGTGGTACATTGTAATTATGGTACTGTATGTGAATTAAAAGTCGGAAAAGCTCATATGGAATAGATAAATAATGGTTAGTAGTAGAACAATGAGTGTTCCATCCTAACGGGGACTCAGGTTAAACCAAGATTCTAGTGTTGATGTTCAAATTGGGAATGTTAGTCATAATGTGTCTATTATAAATTGTGTATGAAAACTGGCTATACTGGGGCACAGGATGTATATATGCGAACAAAGACTGAGCATGACTGTCCTGTACATCAACAACAGGATAACTAAAACCCTTACACTAATAATGACGTAATAATTAAACATTCGATATGGGATTGTGGAAATTATTGAACTTTATAGAATTCATGAACTGATATAAGTTAGACCACGAGTATGAGTTAAGTCCAACTGAAAACTTAATCTTATTGAATGAAAGTCTAATGACAATGAACAATAGTTCAAGTTACTGCATCTATAGAAAGTGGTTCTATTTCTAAGCGCATAACAATCTGAATATATATATATATATATATATATATATATATATATATATATATATATCAAATGTCACGTCTATAAAACTTCCAGAGTGATGGTGCAATCCCATTTGCTATTCTATACTTGACGTAAGGTAAGCTGATTCACATAGGTTTAAAAATTCGAACTCATTCTCTAGACATTTGGATATAAACCATAGTTTAAGTGTGTGCTAATGATATTACCCGATTGCCCGAAATGAAGTAGGTGGGACAGAGCTTAAACTTGGAAACTAGTAGTTGAAAGTCGGATGGCTTAACCACCAAGCCACTGGTCCACATAAAATTACATAGCATATGTGCAAAAATGGTACCTGAGACCTACCCACAAGTTTAACTTGAACTTCAGAAAGACTTCCCCTCTCAGATGACATCTGGAAGAAAAATTTATGAAAAGTAAATTATTCTGTTAGATATGATGAAAACTTGTGTATTATTATGCAAATACGAGAAATGGCTTCAAATCTGATCGTGGCTGCGTCGACCACATATTCACCATTCGTCAGACCATAGAACACAAGCATGCTTATCGGCGTCCGATAATGATTTTTCTCGACTTAAAAGCAGCATTTCACTCTGTAAACCAAGAGGCTATGTGGCAGTATCAGTCACTGAAAGACATACCTCAGAAGTACATAAACCTTATGAAGGCTCTTTACTCGAGCACTTCAAGTCGAGTCAGCGCTTATGGAGAGCTGTCATCTGATTTTGCAACCTCAAGTGGTGCCCGGCGATGCTGACAGCTATCTCCATTCTTGTTCAGTTTCATCACATACCAACTGCTGAAAATAACGATCCTGTCGTCTGAATTTTCGGGAATCGATCTGCAACCAGGAGGTTCACTTATCGACTTAGAATATGCAGATAACATAGTATGTTTGGTGAAGACGCTGATAAAATGTAGGGTCTTTTAGTAGCAATGAGCAACAATGTCAGGATGTTCGGGATACGTTTCTCCCCCTCTAAATGCAAGTCGTTGTTTCAGGACTGACCTGCATTAACATCTGAACTAAAAATAGGGAGTGCAGTAGTCGAATGCGTCGACTGGCCAGCCCTAATGGGTTGGTGTCTGACGAAATCTCAACACAAATTAATAAAACTCGTTTGGCTTTTGCCAACTTACGTCATCTGTGGAGAAAGCGAGATACCCGTCTATCAATGAAAGGATGAGTATACTGTTCGGCAATTCGTTTCGTCCTATTTCACGGCTGAGAAGCGTGGCCATTAAGAGTAGAAGAGACTCGTAAGCTACTAACATTTGATCGCAGATGTCTTAAAAATATTACTCGCATCTGCTGGGATCACCAGGTAAGTGATAGTGAAGTTAGACGCAGAGTATTGGGAAATGGTAGTAAGCCAGTTGATGAAGCTGTAAAACTTTATCGACTGAGATTATTAAGCTACGTGTTACGTATCCCTGAACACCGATTACCACGACGAGCAATGTTAACTAGTGTTGGAGACGAATGGAAGTTAAGGTGGGCTAAACCAAGACGTGACACTAGTCCACGAAGTCACTCACATTTGGTCTGAGCCATGTTGGTAATACAGACCGCTTGGTTGGGGTCCGCGCGACTATCCCAACCAATGGTTGGAGATTCTGGGTGACATGGTTCAGAATCGGTCACAATGGCGTAGGTGTATACACTCTTTGTCTTCCCTTAAACTGTGAGATTGAAATTACTCCATACCTTTCTTTTTACGAACTAATTCTCTCCCCCTGTATCACATCCTACTATGAAATCTTTTTTAGATATTAATACCATTGAGATAACTGCTTCTATAAATTTAGTGTTGATTTTCTTGTGGTAATGAGGTATGGCAACCCTGGAGTGATGAATGTGTGCCTGGTCCTACGTTGCGGCTGACTGACTGACGTTACACACTTACAACGGGTTTTGAAACAATTAATGCTCGTGCAGACGGACATCAATTAGCGGTCAAACGCCATGATATATCCTCGCTTATATTAATGCATGTGGAGAACTGTGGACATACATTCGACTGGGAAAATGTTGAGATAAAGGATAGAGGGAATTCTAAAAAGTGGCATTGGGAATGTCCATCTACTTACTAGGGCTAAATGAGACTTATAAACCTATGTGAGGAATTAGATGGTTTCGTCCATAAATTATAATCTCACCGTCTCACTTAGTTTGGCTACTAAGACTAATGTCCTCAAAAACCTGTAGACTTTGCCTATCAGGAACCACCGATTTCTCTGGGTTTAGATTAGCTTTAGACTCTAAATTCATTAAGAATCGACGGGAAGTTGCATGTCAAACGATGTCTACGCCTAAAGTTAATGGTTTCTAAAAATAAACAGTTGTTCGAGCATATTTGTACCAGGCGATCATAAGTGTCTATTCGCTGAGTTGAGACACCCTGAGACTCACTTGAATGTTATTCAGTTTGGTTTAGACTACTAGAGCATTAAAATTAGCTGCTAAAATCACTACGTCTGACGATTTATGCCTCTCAAGGTTAGAAGGCTTTCAGTAGAACTTATCTCTTCATCCAAACTGCAGTCAGTGGGTATGTAGACTGAGCCAACGTCTTGAACCGTCATCTTTCCGAGTTCTTACTGTTCTGTTTAGTCGACAGCATACAAGGGATTGTCTTTTGGAAGCTGGAATCCAGTCCAGAAAGGTTTGTTCCGCTTTCGAACCTAATGCTATATCTACGCTAGCAAGTTCGGCAGAAGTAGTTAATACCCCAGATAAACAAGTGAATCCCTCTGGTTTTCCATATTAACTAGGCTTGGTTAAGTAAATGACCGCAATTAGATTCTGTATACAGGTTTCAGAGATGCAGTGTATGTCAATGGATCGAGATTCTAGTGTGTTAGCTAATAAAGTCTGTTGTCCAATTTGGTGTAAGTTTTAAATATTTGAAGCCCTAACTTCCGTTGTTGGATAAGAGTATCGTTGGTGATGCTGGGTCAAACACCCTACTATTGCCTTACCCTAACACAGTGGGGATCATGGCCACATCTTTGGACACCAACTTTACTGCTTTTATTTTTACCGTTTCCCAAGCTACCTTCGTAGGATAGTAGAATTTACAGAAACAAGTGTTCCAGTCACTATAACTCTTGAATCACCAACTTCCAATATTACGTCAACGTAGCGACTATAGATGGGAAAAATGAGCTATTATTCGAACATGGAAAAAGCCAGTCAATCATCAGGCTTTTGCAACGTAGTAAATGGCGTTGAAATGTTTCAAATTTGTCCTGACATTGTGAGTGACCACACTAGGATCCTGTATGCTTGTTCCTGAGACAGAACATACATTAACGGTTTTAGCAAGGGAGGCCTGCTAACCGATTTGACATAGGTGCGTACGTTGAAGTAGTGATTTGCCTCACACTAAGCTTTTTGATACTTTATAAGGTTTCAGCTACTATCAACTACTGAGTTATTACTAAACCTCAAAGTTACCACCATTTTTACAATATTTGTGATCCATGTGCAAACAGTGATACAAAAGTTGATTTTGTGTAATCACTACATAGACAAACCTCAATGCAATCAATTCTCGAATAAGTCACATTGAAAACATTGTGAAACCGACCTACACCAATTGATTGACACCAAAAAACACAGAATGAACGCCTTATTTCTATGTAATAAGCTAAGACAATAAATAAATAAAAAGGACAAAATCAAAGGATGAAAGGGTATATTATTTAAAAGATAGAAAATTAGTCCGTCTCAATCATTGAATTTCATGTTTTGGAATTCAGCTGCCTCATGTGCATCAGCCAAGAAGCTAAATAAGAGGTTAATTTTGCATTGGGACAATATGGTAAGACTATTAACGACATTGTGACAATAATAATCGCTCACTATATGAACCACCAAAGATCTAATTTTGCACCAACACATTGTCTCAAATTTAAAGTCGCCAAAAATTAAAAGCAACTGAAATTTAATAAGCTTTCCTAGTTACGAAAAATATCGCTTAAAGTACTGAAAATTAGGTGATACTCGGTAGAAAGTCCTGAAGGTCTTTCAACGAAAGGCTACCGTTACACTAACAGATGCAACTCCTGTGTCCTGTGGTGAAACAAATACCGTTATAAATTGTAGGAATATTTTACCAACTCCCTTGAGAATACGATTATGGAATGATGGAGTTTGCCACGCTTATATGTTACGGAATTCCGCATTTTGATTTGCAACGTAAGAGACATACAAACCCCATCACACCAATCTCTTTAAGTCATGATTATGAACGGTGAGGAACATGCCTTACATATCAGAGTATTATTTGTGAACAACTTTAATATAAATAGTGTCGGTGGTGCAGAAGTCTATTGACGACATTCAAGAAATCCCAAAGTGACCCTTAGAAGCTCCAAATACTTTATAAATTTACAGTAGATTGGAGCTATTCTTGAGAGGAATTAGAGTTAAGGCTTTTGTCACGAAGTGATACAAACCACATTGCCATTTAGTTATATGCATGTAGCTCCGCACAACTTACTACTTAATGGGAAACTTTGGCGGTTGCTTCTGAGATCTAGGAATATCTGCTGTCGATAATCTCCGTATTCCTATACAGTTTAATTAATCGGCACGTAATATATGGCAACAATTAGGTTTCACTACAAACTGTGCAAAAGTTCTAAGTAGCAGAATTACTGGCTTTCACATTATTCAAAACATTATGCTATGTATCTGATCAGGTTGGTAGTGAAGCAAAATAAGCCGAAAAGTAGACGACTACCTCTTAATAGTTTGAATAGTTTAAATCCCTTAGGGCCCAGATAAACGTTGAAAACTTCCAAAAGATTTAAAACACTACCTAAATCAAAAGCCCACCATTTCCAAAGTTCAACCTCCATCAAATACAATATTTAGTACTGTAACCGTCAACCGGTAAATATTTACTCAATCATTCGCTCTAGAAGCCTAATTTGAATGAACTTTTCGTGTATTTAGAAACGTTTTTCGATCTTCACGGTCTTTAAATAGAGCTTTTTTTATAAAATGGGTTCTTAAAGACTAGCTGTTGTCACGTTACTGAGTTTTTTGGTTAGTCATATTTAGTGTAAAAGATTTGAAACATTAGCAGTCTCAGGTGGATGCTTTTTGCCTTCAAGTGTTTCAAATGGTTGTTGACGGAATAGAGGAAACTTTCGCTTAACGGGCTTCCGTGTGGATCACCAGTGGATCACCAATACCTCCAGGCAGGAACCTAGGTATATTAACGATAATAGAGGAAAATAAGAAATTGGTAAAACGTAGTGAGATGTTATCCTTGGCCCTCAAGAATAGTTCAAGTTTTCTCTTAAAGGACTACTGCAAAGTCACTTGAACTAACTCAGTCGGCAGAGAATTCCAGCTGTAGCTGTAAATAATTCCCCAAAATCAATAGCTCTTTAAGTGTCCGACATTGGATGCTGACCACATTGTTTTAAGTGGACTTGTTTAACTGAAGACGTTCGGCCATGCATCCGCACCAAATCACGTTACGACTCAGCGTGGGACACAGCTCCTACGTTTCATTAGCCAGCTCATAGAAAAGGTCCTCGATATATTGGTAACGAATCAAATATATCTTTCCAGCCTATTCTCGTCCGACTTCTGATTTCTATCTGACTGGGAACAACCGAATTTAGAAGGTGCTACTGGTATCTAGTTGTAAAACTAGAATATCCGTTGCATCTTCATTGGTGAACCCGACGTGATCTGGTACACCAAGTCAATATACTGTGAGTCTGTTCCATTTTGGAATATTATTATTTATTGTTATTCTTTATTTGAATTTTATATATTGTGATATACCTTTTTTTTTCTCGGATATATTTTACTTTGACATTTTTCGATATCTATATTACTATGACGGAACACTCTCCTAAGGTTCTTAAGTCAAAGTCTATTCCCCCTATTTCGATTCAGTTAACGCCATTTTGGCCCGACAATATCGAGTCCTGGTTCTGCTATGCAGAAGCCGATTTTTGCATGCACGGAATCACGGACTCGCGCACACGTTTCCTCGCGGTAGTTAAGGCGTTACCGCGCGAGTTTAACAGGTACGTAACACCTAGTATGTTTACTAGTGATGTTTCCGAACCTTACGAATCGCTTAAGCTATCGATTTTAAAACGAGGAGACCTAACTGATCGACAACGGTTAGACCAACTCCTTAACAATATCGACTTGCAACATGGTTCTGCGACGGACATGTTGCTTAGAATGAGAGAAGTCATCGGCCAACGAACTTTCGATGATGGCCTATTTAGACAACTTTTCTTGTCTAAACTCCCTCAACAGGTGCAGGCAGTGCTTGTTTCATTTCAAAACAATGCCATAGATGAACTAGCTGCATCTGCCAATCGAATCTTGGAAATCACTAGATCTTCTAAGGCCGAGGTTTTTTCCGTCAAAGAAAAACACCAATCGACCTCGACTGACATGGCTGAACTATGTCACACGCTTACACGATATCTTAGAGTTCGCAATGACCGTAGTCGGTCAAAAACCCCGCGTAGAAGCGCCTCACGTAAGCTATCTAGCTCTCGACCACGAGAGACAAACAATCCCGACTGGTGCTGGTATCATAACCAGTACGGTAAGTTTTCCAGAAACTGCAGGAAACCTTGCAATTATCCGACCCCAAAATCGAGTGACACGAAAAACAGTTCGGGAAACTTCCCAGCCGGCACGCGTTAACGGCAACCGTAGCCGGCGAACACAGCCGCCTCTTATATGTCACGGATGTGACTACGAAAGTTCGCTACCTCGTCGACACTGGCGCAGAAGTTAGCGTTCTTCCAGCAAATCTCGACGACAGACTTCGCGAGTCTGTTTTAAGTTTACAGGCGGCAAACGGAAAGCCGATCGCTACTTACGGTAAAAGGTACGTCTACCTTAACGTGGGTTTACGTAAACCCATACACTGGATTTTCGTGGTTGCAGATGTCTCTATGCCAATCATTGGTATTGACCTGTTACAACACCACAATCTACTCATCGACACACGCTCACGAAGGTTAATAGACGGAAACACTAAGTTGTCCGTTTGCGTAACTCCTTGTTCTGGTTGCAGGTTATCCCCAGTCACGATTAAGCACGCCATAGACCCCTTGTACCAAGCAGTACTCGACAAATACCCCGGGATATACCAATCGCAATGGAAATTACCTTGTGTAACCAGCAATGTTACACATCACATCTCGACTACAGGACCACCTGTATTTTCGAAAGCCCGAAGACTCGCTCCCGAAAAACTTAGGTTGGCTAAAAACGAATTCAACCACATGATGGACCTAGGAATAATTCGACCATCGAATAGTCCATGGGCATCCCCATTGCACATGGTCCCTAAAAAGGACAGCAATGATTGGCGGCCAACTGGTGATTATCGGCGTCTGAATGCTAAAACCATTCCCGATCGTTACCCGCTGCCTCATATTCACGATTTGACAGCTACCTTGAAAGGTACAACTGTCTTTTCGAAAATCGACTTGGTTAAAGCTTATAACCAAATCCCGATGGCAACTGACGACATTCCTAAAACCGCCATCATCACTCCCTTCGGTCTTTACGAATTTCTACGAATGCCTTTTGGTTTAAGAAATGCGGCTCAAACCTTCCAAAGGTTTATAGACGACGTCTTCCGAGGTCTCAACTTCGTACATGCGTATGTTGATGACTGTCTAATAGCAAGTCCGGACAGAGAATCGCATCTCAAGCATCTGGACATTGTTTTCGATCGACTTCAAAGGCATGGCATTACTGTCAACATTCAGAAATGCCTAATCGGAACTAACTGCTTAGACTTCTTAGGACACACCATTGATGCCCAAGGCATCCGACCCCTTAGGAGCAAAGTGGCGGCCATTCTGGATTACCCAGAACCGACCACGATCAAGCACTTACGAACTTTTAACGGACTCGTAAGTTTCTATAGACGGTTCATGCCTAAATGCGCATCCCTAATGAAACCGTTGACCGATCAGCTTCGTGGAAATGCGAAATCAATTAGTTTAGACGACACAGCCCGTAAAGCATTTTCCACAGTTAAGGAACACATCGCTAAAGCAACCTTGCTTGCTCATCAGGACAGTCAAGCGCCCATTAGTATCGCCGTAGACGCATCCGACTCAGCAATCGGAGCAGTCTTACAACAATGGGTTAACAACTCGTGGCAACCTTTAGGATTTTTCTCCAGACGATTGTTAGACGTGGAATCTAGGTACAGCACGTTCGGTAGGGAACTCCTAGCTATGTATTGTGCTGTACGGCATTTTCAACATTCCATCGAAGGAAGAGAATTCACGCTCTTTACCGATCACAAACCTCTTACCTTCTCTTTAAGTTCATCTTCAGACAAGTACTCACCAAGAGAGTCTCGACAACTCGACTACATTTCGCAGTTTACTTCAGACATACAACATATTTCTGGAGCAAACAATGTAGTCGCAGACGCCTTGTCTCGAATTAGCTCCTTGAACAGTTTCCAAGGAATCGACCTTCTTAAACTCGCTCAGCTTCAAAAAGAAGACATTGATCTTCAGCATGAGTTATCCTCGACAACTCTTAAACTAAGTATTAGGCAGATGGGAACAGGTAAGGAAACCTTACTCTGTGACACATCTACAGGTAGGGATAGTCCAATTGTACCAAAACACTATCGCCGCAACGTCTTCAATACGTTGCACAATCTTTCTCATCCAGGTGCTCGTGCAACAATCGAACTTATAGCCGAACGCTTTTGTTGGCCTGGCATGAATAAAGACGTGAGGGAGTGGTCACGCTCCTGTGTAAGCTGTCAGAAATCTAAGGTAATCAGACACAACAAATGTCCCTTAGGTTCTTTCAAAACCCCTGACGCTCGTTTCGACCACGTCCATCTAGATTTGGTAGGACCCTTACCCGACTCGAACGGATACTCATATCTCCTAACATGCGTAGACCGTTTTACTCGATGGCCAGAAGCAGTACCGATTAAGGACATTACTGCTGAAACAGTGGCTCGCACTTTCGTCGAACGATGGGTAGCAAATTTCGGCTGCCCTTCAACCATCACTACAGACCGCGGACGCCAGTTCGAATCTGGACTTTTCCGTTGTCTGACCACACTTTTAGGAATCACGCGCATCCGAACGACCGCCTACCACCCACAAGCAAACGGGTTGGTAGAACGTTTTCATCGACAATTAAAAGCTTCATTATCAGCTTCAAACGTTTCACAGTGGATAGACGCTCTTCCACTCGTCTTGCTAGGTATCCGCAATGCAGTGAAAGCTGACATTGGATACACGGCATTTCAAATCGTTTACGGAACGACACTCCGACTCCCAGGAGAATTCGTGGATCCTTCAGCTTCTTCATTGAACATGGATCTAAACTCTTACACGAGTAGGCTTACAAACGCTATGCGTTCAGTTAAACCTGCTCACACTCGACCTCAATCAACTGATGTTTTCGTTCAACCCGAACTACGACATAGTACACACGTCTTCGTTCGTCGAGACTCACATCGACGACCCCTCGAATCAGCATACGAAGGACCCTTCAAAGTTCTTCAACGCGAACCTAAGTACTATGTAGTCGACAAGAACGGTACGAAAGATAGCATCAGTATCGATCGACTCAAAGCTGCGTACCTAGAAGGAAACCCTAGCTACGTCGATTTTCCTTCGGTACAAGCAAACGACACAGCTACTACACTCGTAGTACCCTACACGACAACCGACACACAACTTGATACTTCGTCAACGTCGATAGAAAAACCTAAAACAACGCGTTCTGGAAGACGAGTAAGATTTCCAGAACATCTTAACGAATATTGCACGTAGGACATAAGCTTTATCTTG